CTAGCTTTAAGCGCTAAATGCTTAAAATAAGTAGTAAATAAAAAAGCTTAAAAAAAAGCTTAAAAAAAAGCTTAATTATATATATAAGCTATAAAAATTATAGTTTTAGTAGCTATAAGTACTTATGTCTAGCAGCCTTATGTTCTGCCTAGAGGCGTTGCAGGCGTAGGGCGGCCTGCTGCTGCTACTACCTCTACTTAGGCACACAGCAGCTGCGCTGCTGTTGCTAGCAGACGTAGATTTAAGCAGGTATACCTCTGCCTAGGCTAGCATTGCGCCTACGCTGTCTGTGCGCTTGCCTAGCTTATTACCTTTGCTAGTAGCGCTTAAGCTAGCGCCTAAGCTAAAACCTGCACTAAAGCATTACATGTGCTATGCTATAAGAACTATAGAGGATTTCTAGCATAAATAAATAGTAGGCCTATAGGGCTAGCCTTTTATTACTAAGCTAGACAGGCGCTAGAGAAATAAGTAAAAGTTAAGTTATTAAAGTAAGCTATAGTAGTACTCTTTATAGCTTAAAGTTATTAATAAGATTAGGCGTATTACATAAGTGTAAAGGACTAGTAAAAAGGTAGCTATATAGCAGGTAAGCTAGCAGCAGCAGTAGTAGAGGGTCTTACTAGACTAGCTCTATAAGCATTTTAGAGTTGCTTAGAAAAAGAGCAATTACCTCTAGTTTTATAGTCCTAGTATTATATATAGTTATTATTATAAAAGTTAATTAATTAGTGTTTAGATAGTTATAGCTACTAAGTAAAAATTTTATTTTATATTATTTTATAATTTACTATGTTTTATTATAATTTGCTATATTATTCTATAATATGCTGTGTCTTGTTATAATTTACTGCATTATTCTGCAATTTACTATATTATTTTATAATATACTATGTTTTGTTATAATTTACTGCATTATTTTATAATTTACTATGTTTTATTATAATTTACTGCATTATTCTATAATCTACTACTTTTTATTATAATTTAATACATTATTCTGTAATTTACTGCAATATTAGGATACTGTGCGAGCACAGTATACTTCTGTTACACTGTGACATTTATAGAGAGGTATCTAGCAGCTATACAGTGCGTTCTTAGCAATGTAATAGCAATTATAATGCAGCTTTGTAGCGCTTTAAAGCTAAAGCAGCCTAGTAGCTATTATAAGACTAAAAATTAAGCTATTTATATATATAGTAGTGTAAATATTACTTATAAAAAGTAAGTAATACACATAAGTAAATACTAAAAGTTAATAAGTATATAGTTTTTTTTACTAGCAAAAATTTTACTAAGCTGCTAAATTAGCTATATAAATATTACTATAAATATACTATTAGTATTTAAGGCTATACTAAGCTTTAGCTAAGTTACTATCTTACCTTTTAACTAATTACCTCCTACAGGCGTCTGCAGATGTCTACCCCTAGCTCTCGCGCCTGTGCGGTGGACATCTCCTAATGCACCGGCCGCCTGCTGAGCCCGCCGCTGATGGCTCCTGTACTACACACACACACACACACACATATATATATGTATAGATGGAGAGGCCCTAGGGCAGGCTAGGCCCTGCTCTTACTTTTATCCTAAGCCTAAGTTTTAGCGTGTGCTGCTTACTACTATATATACTCTCTTTTACTATATACACTTACTTAGGGGGCATAAGCATAGGTTTACAGCGTAGGGCGTGTTATAAGTGTGTAGATATTAACATTATAAACAACACTAAGCTACACACTAATGTGCACTATATTCTAGCTATAATTTATAAGCAGTAGCTAGAGAATACACACTAGGTCTATGTTCTAAAGTAAAAGGAATTTAAGATAGTATTCTTGCCTACTTACCTGCTTATTTATATGTCTGTGTCTGTGCTAACTCTTGTGTCTAGGCGTTCTGCAAAAGAAAGTAGTACTATAATAGTAGCACTATTATAAAAAAAAAGCTTTTACTTTTTTTAGTTAAAAAAGTTATAAACTAGCTTTTAAAAACTAAGTTTTATAAAGTAAAAAGTAATATTTTTTAAAATAAAATATATTTTACTTAGTACTTAGTTTACAATTATATTATAGCTATTACTAACCTTTAGTAAGAGTAGAAGACGCTAGGCATAAACAGCTACTTATTACTATATATAAATAGCATAAAGAAGTACTTTAGGTCTTTATAGCATAAAGATGCCTAGCAAGATTAAGAGCAGTATGCTAATAAAAGTAAAAACATGCTGCTTAATAGCTACACTAAAAATAAGTTTAAGCAGCTTTATAGTAAGCTATAAACATGTAGTGTAGACACAAGCTTGTTCTTAGTAATAGTAAAGTGTTACTTCTATACACTAGTTAATCTTATGCTAGGCTACTATATACTTATATGTAGAGGTAACTACTATTTTATAAAGATTTTAGACCTATTTACTTTTAAGTTTTAAAAAAAAAGCCTTACATACTATATACTTTTAATATTTACTACTTACGTAAGTAAGCAAAACTAGCATAGCTAGCTTAAAATAATAAGCGCGCTATAGTATAAAAAGCTAATCTTTTACATGCTTAGCAGCCTAGCCTTTTACCTACTTTATTACTAGAACTTAGGCAATAAGCTCTTTTCTAACTTTAGTAAGCGCTTAGCCTAGTACTATATATAGCTAATTAAGGCTAGCATAGGTAATTATATAGCAGCCTTCTTCTATAACTCCTAGCGCAACTAGGTTATAAAGGTGTATAGTTACACTAAGATTTTATTTTAAAAAAAAACTTACTTTTTATATAGTAAAGTAGCTAAGCTAGTAAAGCTTAAAAAAGTTAGTAAAAATTAAATTTAGTAAGTAAATAAGTAAAATTAAAAGTAAATAGTTAGCTACTACTTTAACTTACTACTATAAAAGTTTATAAGGTCTATAGCTAGCTATTTACTATAGATAGACTACTTTAAGATCTTTTATGTAGCTATTATGCTTTTAAATAAGCTTTTATCTCTTATCTAGCTAAAGCTTAATCTGTAGAAGGGCTACTTTAGCTTACACACTAGCTAAATTAATAACTTAGCTATAGAAAGCCTTATAAGCCTACTACTTTACCTTAGAGAGGTAATTCTCTAAGACTTAGCTGCGCTGCGCTAGCGCTTCTTTAGCTACTCTGTGTGGAACTACCTAGTGTTCTAGCACAGGGCGTATGCTGCCTTTGCTTAGAACATTAACATGTCTCTTAACGCAGAAGCAGCTTCTAGTTAGCTATTAGTCTTATACTAAGTAATACTTTTACTTACTAACTAGCTTTAAGCGCTAGATGCTTAAAATAAGTAGTAAATAAAAAAGCTTAAAAAAAGCTTAAAAAGAAGCTTAATTATATGTGTAAGCTATAAAGATTATAGTTTTAGTAGCTGTAAGTGCTTATGTCTAGCAGCCTTATGTTCTGCCTAGAGGCGTTGCAGGCGCAGGGCAGCCTGCTGCTGCTACTACCTCCACTTAGGCACACAGCAGCTGCGCTGCTGTCGCTAGCAGACGTAGATTTAAGCAGGTATACCTCTGCCTAGGCTAGCATCGCGCCTACGCTGTCTGCGCGCTTGCCTAGCCTATTACCTCTGCTAGCAGCGCTTAAGCTAGCGCCTAAGCTAGAACCTACACTAAAGCATTACATGTGCTATGCTGTAAGAACTATAGAGGATCTCTAGCGTAAATAAACAGTAGGCTTATAAGGCTAGCCTTCTATTACTAAGCTAGACAGGCGCTAGGGGAACAAGTAAAAGTTAGGTTATTAGAGTAAGCTATAGTAGTACTCTTTATAGCTTAAAGTTATTAAGAAAATTAAGCGCATTACATAAGTGTAAAGGACTTGTAAGGAGGTAGCTATATAGCAGGTAAGCTAGTAGCAGCAGTAGTAGAGGGTCTTGCTAGACTAGCTCTACAAGCATCTTAGAGTTGCTTAGAAGGAGAGCAATTGCCCCTAGTTTTATAGTCCTAGTATTATATATAGTTATTATTATAAGAGTTAATTAATTAGTGTTTAGATAGTTATAGCTGCTAAGTAAAGATTTTATTTTACATTATTCTGTAATTTACTGCGTCTTATTATAATTTACTGCATTATTCTGCAATATGCTGCGTCTTGTTATAATTTGCTGCATTATTCTGCAATTTACTGTATTATTCTGTAATATGCTGCGTTTTGTTGTAATTTACTGCATTATTTTGTAATTTACTATGTTTTATTATAATTTACTACATTATTCTATAATTTGCTGCTTTTTGTTGTAATTTAATACATTATTCTGCAATTTACTGCATTATTAGGATACTGTGCGAGCACAGTATACTTCTGTCACACTGTGACATTTATAGAGAGGTACCTAGCAGCTATACAGTGCGTTCCTAGCAACGTAATAGCAATTATAATGCAGCTCTGCAGCGCTTTAAAGCTAGAGCAGCCTAGCGGCTATTATAAGACCAAAAATCAGGCTATTTGCACATGTGGCGGCGTAGATATTGCCCATAGAAGGTGGGCAATAGACATGGGTAGATACTAGAAGTTAATAAGCGCACAGTCCCCCCTGCTAGCAAAAATCTCGCTAAGCCGCTAAATCAGCCATACAAATGTCGCCGTAGATATACTATTGATAGCTGAGGTGCTGTTCATGCTGCCTTCTTCGTCATTCCATATCTCAGTGCTCTTCAACTCGATTTCCGTTGTTTTGAAGACGGCTTTGTTGTTTTGACCCAAATTTGCCCGCATAGAAGTGACGTCAGAGAGCTCAGACCTGCTCAGACTCTTTGAGATCATAGTGGAGAAGTTGACATCTTTGAGTCCCGGAATGTGTCTCTTGAGAGGGCGAAGCGATGGCATACAGGCGGCCATTAGGTAGACACCGGGCTCAACTGTTGTCCAGGTCATCGTTGCAACGCAATTGTAGGTGGGATCTGCAAAAAGATCGGTTGTAAAGAAGTTGACCATGCGTATTATGCATGTTACAAGCCCGCTCAACGTCACGTTAGCTCGCATCTTTAAGGTAGACTGTAGAGGACTCACAGACTACCACTAATAAATGTGGCGAACAGACCGATTTTGACCCCAAGGCCCACGTGCAGCTTATAAATTGCAGGCAAAGGTAGGACGAGTAGCAGAACATCGGTGATGAGGTTTGGGATTCCAATATACCGATATGCAGCCATAAGGTTGACGCATTTACCCCCGGGTATCGTCTTGTCCCAAAAGTAGGCAAATGGTCGGCACATGGTGAAATCCGCTATTATCATAGTCAGGCCTGTCAGCAGAATGATAAGACCGGTGGCGTAGGCTGCAGTGCGATAGCGGCGTCTTGTAAATATCTTCATGTACAGACACAAGATGGAGAGCTTGGGAAACATGATAGATTGAGTGTATGAGTACTCTTCCGCTTGGTGAGTTTCAGCCAGATGGTTACTTTGTTGGGGTCTTCCATCACGAGTGCGAGTCCATGTCGACCTGCTCCGCCTATCCGAACCATCACTGTAGAAAATTGTTAGCTAGAACGCGCAACCTCGCGCAACCTCAATACCAAAAGATGACTCACAGATTGCGATCGCACAGTTTGCCATGCACATGACGTAGCCAAGCGGCATGAAACACCAGTACTCCAGGCCATTGTTCGTTTTACTGAGAATCCTGGAGATATAGAACAAAGAAATAAAGACAGTTTGAAGTATAGCAAAAGTTACGGCGACTCTCATGATAGGAGCGCCCGTATTTTCAGTAAAGTATGACGGGGGTAAAGAGGCTAAGAAAACTGGGTCGACTTGGGCAGGCATAGCGACTCATACGTGGAATGAGAGAGGTAGAGGTTTTCAAGATCAATAGATCACAGTAGGTGTCAAATGGCACCACGCGTCCACATAAGGGGCCGGAGGTCAACCACCAAGATTTTTTGTGGGCCCTTTTGCTCTCAAGGTGGGTGCGGCGTATGCTCAGGATGGCACGGCTATGACACAACGGAGTTCCGTGGTACATTATGTCGACGACGAGTATCTGGAACCGTTCTGCAAGCCATAAATGACAGTGATTCACGGTAGCTAGTAGTATTCGGCTAGATGGGCGCTGACGGACATGACAGTATTTCCTAGTACAGGGAGTATAATGATTATCCTGTCTGACGTCCGTAGTTACGCGTGAGCTAAGGCGTAGCCAACGGCAATGCATGCGAACCAATCTAAGTTAAAAAAAATTAGCGCAAGCGAAGTCCGAAGGAAATGACGCACAACTAGAATCCTTGAAGCAACGAGGATCATCAAACGCAGAGGCTCTGGCATTATATTGTAACCCCGGTATCCTAGCAAGGGGCCTGAATTATGCAGAAGCGCACCCAATCGTTCGGTATTGCGAGCTTCGATGGGCAGGAAACCGATTTTCATTTGAGTCGCATCGAAAGTTTTCTATGTCACGGAAAGCAATCTAGAGTCTATGATGGCTTGGTGGGGTTTCTATATCCACTAGGGTACCAGTGATCCTGACATACAAGAACAAGACTTGACACCAGATACTGCATCAACTCACGAAATATCGCTCCAATCTACCATGCGGTTCATTTGTCTTCATGGCATTGGGACGAGCAACCGGGTATGTTCATCATTCACTTTAATAAGGTGAACTATCACCCTCGTATCTGACTCCCCACAGGTTTTCAAGATGCAAACGGGTGAGACATGCATCTCCAAATACCAAGGGAGTTAGCGGTGTGCTAATAGCGGACTCTGCATAGCATCCCTTCGCAGCGAACTTGGAGAAGAACATGAGTTCGAATTTGTGCAAGGCACGATTGAGTGGCCTATGGCGTCGGGTCAGTTACGCTTAAGGGTATCTTGATATATTCTCTTCATCCGCTTATCGTCTGCAAGGGCTTGAACCGATTTCGAACCCCAATGAGACTTATTACGCATACTTCGAGTACACACCGGAGTCTGCCCTGGCCGCGGTGGAGGCTTTAGAACGGTACATCAGCGTTGAAGGACCCTTTGACGGAATTCTAGCGTTCAGCCAGGGTGCAGGCCTGGCAATTATGTTCTTACTCCGCTATTGCTCCCTGCCACCTCAAAGATCGCCTCTGTTCAAATGTGCACTCTTGTTTTCCCCAACAGGCATGTATGACCCTGTGGCCTGGATCAATACTGGAACGATACAAAAAGTAGATACAACCGATAGAGTTACTCTCACGATCGCATCGATCGTGGTGTGGGGAGAGCAAGATCTTGATGGCGTGTCCGAAGATAGTGGCGTGGCTGCTCGACTCTTTGATAGTGATATGGTATGGATACATGTACACAATAGAGGGCATGAGATTCCGTCGGCGGCTTCTGTTGAAGCATTTAGGGGCATGATGCGGTATATTAGGAGAGCAATCACGCTTGCGCGTGTTCTGGCCCATTCCGACCGAGTCGCTCAGCAGACTCACCCTAGGAGCTGAAGCAGCCATCTCGTCAGGAACGAGGAAGACCTCAGACAACACTTCCTTCACCTCTTCATTGCCCCAGGCTCAGCAATTTGATTGGTCCACATAAGTAAAGTAGCTGGAATCTGCGCAACAGCGAAGCCAATAAGAACACGAAGCTGCAATGTGTATCCATTCATGAACACTTTTCTTACTCTCTGCTTTAATTCTTCGTCCAGCATGCCTAAGGCTTCTGTTCTTTCAAGCACTTGGAGCGCTGTCTGAGGCGACAGGATGTTGAGCAGATGTGTGCGCACATATGGCGTCGAGACTGAGGTCACTATAGATATACCGAGGAGCCCTCCAAGGACTCTGAATTGGGATACCGCAGATGTTCCAGTTGCTATGATTGGGTCAATCATTGTTTATTCTCTCTCGTTCTTTGCAACATGAAACATACCAAGATCTCTTTTTTCCATTGCATAAGGCACCAATAAAGTGAGTGCAGCATTCACAAAACCCACACCAGTCCCAGCAAGGATCTGAAAGCCATACTGGGCAGGTTTGATTACCTTCCAATCGGAAATTTCCGAGAGTAGGGCCAAACCAACAATTTGCAGGATGGCTCCTCCAAGCACAACCCAGCAAGGTGGTATCCGAAGTTTTCCCATCAGTCCAGCAGCAAGTGAGGACCCAGCGGGGACAAATACACCAAAAGATAGTAGCTTTGTTGCTGCTGTAAATGGAGAGAGTCCGTACACGGTTGAGAACCGCTGTGGAATCTGAACGACGCAAACTGATAGAACAGTGCCAACTAAATATGTATTTCTAGGTTTCAGTTAGCCACTGCTCCCTGTATTGAAAGAAGAGGCTGCAGTTGAACATACATGATCATGCCAACACGTATCCTACTCTGACAAAATCTCCACGGAAATACGGGCTCTATCGTGCTCTCTCGCGTAGTAACATACCACTGCCAGATGAAAAAGAGCATAATCAGAGGTCCAGTGCAAACCAATAGCCCCAATACTACAGGTGAGTCCCATTGGTCCCCCGTAGCTGCCTGCTGGAGGGCTGTTGCGCTCATGACGCAAGATCCTAATAGAAGAAGGGAGCCGGATGCATCTACGCGACGAAGGGATTGAAGTGAGAGCGTCTGCTGAGTCGGACCGCCGCCAATCCGCGCCGCCGGCTCGTTTCGAAGCCGGCGCGGAAAGACCGTATAAAGACAAAGTAGAGTCAAAGCTCCGACGGGAACGCTAAATAACATTAGGATAGTGGTATTTACAAATGAATAGAAAGTGTTGGGACATACTTCAACAGAAAGATCCATCTCCAACTTCCATGTAGCGTGATGGCACCTCCAAGTAGCGGCCCTGCAATTAGAGATAGCGCAATGAAGCCAGTGACTAAGCTTATATATGCAGGCCATTTCCGCGGCGGAACGAGTTCGAAAAAGACCAGCTGGACAAGAGCAAATACTCCGCACCCGCCAACACCTTGTGCCCATCGGAAGTGAATCAATTGTGTAAGGCTGTGACTAGAGCCACATAGACCAGAGAACAACGTGAAAATGAACAACGAAGCTAACACGGCCGGCTTACGACCGACGATGTCTGAGATCTTAGCCCATACCATCTGTAGCCCTGATTTGTATACATTTAGAGAGGAGGTTGATAACGTCATGAGTGTGAAGCTTACCGCAGTATGTCATGAGATAGGCTGTAAACAACCAAGAGCTCTTTTCATAACCCCCTAGGTGATTGGTAATGTCGAGCACTGCGGTGCTGATGATGGAGGATTCCATTTGGACAATGAAAACGGCGACAAGCAAGCCTAGACTTATAAAGTGAAGCCGCCAACCGGTTATGTACATTCCTCCTTCTTCTAGCTCGATTAGATCTCCTTCGTTATCAGGTGCACCCACGTTCCAGGCGTTGACGATCAACTCTGCGTCGGGACTAACAGTTTCAGATTTTTCGGTGGTGTTGGTGATGGCGGCCGGCATTACGTTACATGAAGACATTTGTGTGTCGCCTCGCAAATAATAAGAAAGGGGGAGAACTAGATCGAGGAAGTAACAATTCTATCGTGATGGAAAATTGCAGATGAACTGTTGATGGCTGGGGGGAATTGGCGAGGGTCTGTCTTTGGAGGGACTTGTGCCCACCCTACTACGCCGCATACCCACCTTGCAGTTCCCTATGTTAGATGCAATCCCATATGCGTATGTCTGACCAGTCCATTTTACCGCTCCATTACGTGATGCAACATTAACGGATGCAGACAGTTGACAAGGATTGGTATATTAAATGTCCGTCTTGCGGCAAAGTTGTCCGTCTGTCAGTGCAACCCCAGTCAGAGGTGCGCATGTGGCGTGCAACCGACGTGAGATGGCCACCCTTCGACGCCCCGCATATGTGGTTTGCCGAATATTTCTTCTTGGAGTTCCCCACCCCTCATAAGAAGTCGAAGAACCATACTCGATCATTCAAGGGACTTGACGCTCCACGGTCACAGCGGAACATGGCCCTTCTCCTTCTTCTCGTTACTTTATGTCTCTCCTACGTAAGCTCTTAGATGCCTCAACCTTAACTCAAGATGCTCATGCTAGTGTAGATGGTGGCTAATATTATATACAATATATTCTTTCACCCCTTGTCGAACCTACCAGGGCCCTTCTTTGCCAAAATCTCCTCCATGCCCTCTTTCTATCACGCTTATAAAGGAGACAGACACATCTGGTTGTGGCAGCAATTTCAGATCTACGGCAGCAGGATTCGCGCAGCTCCAAATCTTGTCCTCTTCAATAGCCCCACCGCATACAATGCAATCTATTCTTTCAAGTCCAATGTCAAACGTTCCAGTTTCTACGATGCTTGGGGACGCAATGTGGATGATGTCAATGTCTTGATGACGTCTGACACGCAGCTCCATGCAAGAAAACGACGATTACTCAGTCTAGCTTTCACAGATCATTCTGTCAAAGCCTCAAGCCCGGGTACTAAAGTCCGCATGTATATGCCAAGACTTCTCTTGGGTTGTGCTCTCCCTGCGAAAAGGATTTTACTAATTCAGTTTTAGTACGCATGTTCCCAATTCAGCCATCATTGGATCACCACTCAAGTGGCATTTTCGTGATGGTGGTATCCCCTCTTGTTTTAGAACTCTGACTTATTTGCCTCGACCTCTAGTTTATGGCGAAGCATATCGACCGTTGGAACAAATTGTTGGGAGGTGAACTGAATGACCAGATGGAGGAAGGGTGGTCTGCGCCCCGCGATATTGCCACCTGGGCCAATTACTTGGTATTTGATCTTCTGGGCGATCTTTGCTTTGGCGCCGATTTCAAGACCAAAGAACCCGGTGAGAACAACTTGAAGAAGATTGTTGATGCGTTTGACACGTTTGTCACGTTCAATTACCCAGTATGTTTGCCCTGCATTGTCACAACGTCCATCTATTTCTCGGTCTAGCGCGCAGCTTATTCAAGGAAGATTACAAAATCCCCACTGTTAGATACTCTTGTGTGGCTCAAGCCTCGCGGTCTCAACTCAATTATCGAGCGCTTGGCGCCGCAAGAGATCAAAGATCATTACGCTTTCGTCGAGTTGCTAGTGAGAAGCCGTATGGCCGCAGAGGAGAAGCGAGAAACAGAGAAGAGCCCCGTTGAACGAGAGGACATGCTGCACTTCCTCTGTAGTGCTAAGGACCCTGAAACTGGGAAGCCAGCCTTTGGCTTCAAAGAATTGCTCGCGGAAGCAAACCTGCTCATACTTGCCGGCTCGGACACAACTGCTATCACTATCAGCACCGTCTTCTTCTACATCTGTCATGATAAGCGCGTCTATCTCAAGTTGGTACGCGAGATTCGCAGCACCTTTCCCAACCCTGAGGCTATTGTGCATTGTCCTGAGCTGCTCAATTGCAAGTACCTAAGAGCATGTATCGACGAGACGCTGCGCATGGCACCAGCCGCCCCAAGCGAACTTCCCAGAGAGGTCCTTCCCGGAGGCGTGGAAATCGACGGTGATCACTATCCCCAAGGAGTCATCGTTGGCACACCCAACTGGTCCATGGGTCGAAATGAAGAGCATTACGGTGATGCGTACACCTTCAGACCGGAGCGTTGGATTGTCTCGGATGATTTGGACACTCTCAATACAGAAGAAGAGGTACTTAGGCTTAAGCGTGGCCTTCATACGTTTCTGAGGGGCCCTGGGGATTGTATTGGCCAGAAGCTGGCCGTTCTTGAATTGTGCATGGTCATTGCAAGGACTCTATGGCGATTTGATGTTCGCCTGACACCGGGAACGCATGTTGGGGAAGGGCATGCTAACCTAGGCTGGGGCTGCCGGGATCCGAAGCAGTTCATGTTGAAGGATGCGTATATTTCCATGCGTGAAGGGCCAATGTTGCAATTTAAGCCTAGATAGGTCTTGCCACTCATCTCAGCCAGTTAGAACAGCGTTCCCAACCGTACGTAATACGTTTCAACTCGCTGTTTTTTAGGCTGTAACTTCTTAGTTTGTTAGTACGTTTTAATGTAAAAGGAGAATTTAAATCTACTTATAGGGCGTAACTGTTATAGCTTACAATCCTCCTACATTTTAACAGCTTGTAAGACGTTACAGCGTATATAGTCTACTAAGTCCCCTATTTTACTGTAAATATAACCCTGCTAGAGCTAGTTTTTCTATAGTTAAAAAGCCTTAATTATTAAGCTAAAAAGCTTGTTTTTGTTATAAGTAATAGTTCTTCTACTTTTAAAAAAAAACCTCTTACAATTGCAGCTTATAAAAGGGATAGATAAAAAGTTAAAGGTAATTTTATATAGTATAAAGTAAGAAAGTTGTCTAACTTGTTCTTACTAAGTAAGACAGTTAGTAAATAAAGGGCTGTTATTATTAGCTATAGTAACATCTTTATAGTAGCTGTTATAGTACTACTGCAACTTTATTATTTTCTGCTACTTTTTGTATAAGCAGCTGCTAGTAAGAAAGCTTATGTTAACAAAGAAAGTCTTCTTAAAGCTCTTATTATAATAGTTGCTACTAAGTAACTTGTGTTATGTAGGCTTCTAGGTAACATTATTGTTGTTAGCTTTAGCCTTAGCCTTTACATTAACATACTTTTAAAAAATAGCTTTTATTAAAGCCTTAGCTTTTTTATACTATGTAAAGTGCTTTCTTTAGTAGTCCTTAAACTAAATAAGATAAAGTTAAGAGTTTAGAATTATTACTACACAGTAATAAAATATAAGTAGCTTAATAATAAACTTTTTCTAGTATGTAAGCAACTTCTCTGTGCTAAATGCTACACTAGATTTAAAGTAGCAATTATTACTCTTACCCTTAAGTTTATTGCCTATACATAAGAGCTTAGTATAAAGGTGTTATAAGTTAATAATAGACATCTAGAGAGAGCTATAGAAGCTGTTGCCTTTAAGGTGTTTTATTATAAAGTAAAAAACCTTAAGAAACTTATAAAAGTAATTAACCTCTTTTTATTTATTCTTAGTAATAACTTTAGTAAGAGTAGAGTTACTAAAGATAGTAAAGTTTATAAAGTTATTATTAGTGCTTTTTTACTTATGTATAAACTTAGTAATAGTGTCTTTAAGCTTAAAACAGCAGAGGAGTATAAGATAAACACTATGCTAGCGTACACTGCTATCTTATATAAGATTAAGTGTTCTAAAGCTCTAGAAAAGGTTATTGTTGTTAAGAGTAGCCTAAAAAGTTATAAAGGCCTTTTATTATTTATATAATGCTAGCACTGTGTTTATAAAATTATAAAGTTTTCTAATAACTTTATAGTAGTAATAAAGGTTAAATTATTTCTAAGAAGCTGCTTAAGTAAGCTTTACTTTAAAGGCGCTTATTTTTTTACTGTAAATAACTGCTTTTACTACTAGCTAGATTGTATAGCCAGCGCAGCGTATACAGTGCTTAGAGGTAAGGGGCATATTAAGATGTTAGGTAAGGGCAGAAATAGTTTTATTATTATTATTTAATATATTATTAGCTACTAAATAATAAAATTTTAACATAATTTTAAAGTTATTAATAACCTTAATAATCTCTAGCGCTTAATTTGCTTTAGTATAGTTGCTATACAAGTTGCAAAAGCTAATTAAAATGTTGTAGTGTTAGTAGTTAACATTTACATAGTATTATTAGTTAGTGTTTAGTTTAATAAAGAATGCTAAAACGCTAAACTAATAAGCTAAAGTATACTTACTAATAAAGTGCAACACTACACCTAAAAAGAAGAGGTAGTTTAAAGAAGTTTATATATTAATGCTTAACATAATTTTGCTTTAGGCTATTCTTAGCATTATTTAAATCTTCTACTTCTGCCGCGTATATCCCTGCTGCACATAGAACAAATATGTAGTGTTAGACGCTAGAAGAGCAGCAAGAAGATTAGCTCTATTCTAAGTAATAATGCTTTAAAGTTCTACTAATAATGCTATATAAAAAGAAATATTATAAAGTATTACTTAGTTAATAACTGCTACTTATAAAGCTTCCTTCTACTAAACACTATAAAAGATAATATATAACAAGCCTACAACCTTATAAGCTGCTTTAAATAGACTTAAGAGAATTCTTAGCTTATTAAGTAAAAAAGTGCTTTTACTTCCTCTACTAATGTCTATCTAGTGCTTCTTTCTAAGGTAGTAGATAATATAAGCGTAACTATTAACTTTTTTTACCTCTTTGCAATTACCTTTAGTGTAGCACCTCCTGCAGAGCTACAACTTTATCCTAGAGGCGTCTCTTTTATTATTATACACTAAATTAGCTTTATAAAGCTATATCTAGAATAACTAATAATTACTATGTAATTAGCTTTTGTGCTTTACCTAGTATCTAAGCTTTTTTAGCCTTAACTTTTTATTTTCTATCTAAATATTATCTTACTTAATAGTAAATAATACTTTGTTGTTAAAAGCAGGGTTGTCTAAGTACTTCTTTATAAGGGCTAAAAGACTGTTAGATAGCGTGCTATTACAGAAAAAAACTAAGGACTCTAATAATAAGAACTTTAATTAGGCAAGTTAATAAGAACTAGTGTAATAAGTAACTCTAGTTTAGTAAGAAAAGCTAGCTTAAAAAGATCCTTAGAATAAGGCTGTACACCTGCTACACTAGAGGAACTAGAACATCTAGCTTATAATAGGTAAGTCTATAGGTAATTATAATTCTTAACTAAAATTATAGAATCCTACACCTTAATCCCCTCCTCTACTAGCTTCTTAATTGTTGTACAAACTGCAGAGTTTTTACCTAATTATTACTCTAAAAACATAACTTTAAACACCCTTCTAACGCGTCCCTATAGCTGTCTAATAAGACCTTATATTACTAGGAAATATTGTCTCTCTAAGACGTATTACGGTCTGTAATGGGAGCTGGCTCCTACGTACGTTACGGCTCACACTCCTCCTACGTTTCAACGGCTCACGTGACTGCTACGTTCACGTATCTACGAGTCGTAGTACGTACGGTTGGGAACGCTGAGTTAGAAAGGGGTTTAAGTTATTGTTGTCTCGAACATTCGCATTCAGTTCTTTGACGTCATCAGGGCCCGTGACATTAGTTTACCGATGGTATAACGTACCTCACGGGTGTGCCGGCCACACGGGTGTGCCGGCCTGTGAGAGCGCTGAGAAGCAGGAAGCGTGAAGCGCAGAAGGGGGTACAGGATAGTATTGATAGACGAATCCTGGAGGAGACTCAGGGGTTCGTGAGAGGATATATATATATATGTGCTGGGGCAGGTGACGAGGGCTCTCCGGGGAGAGTCCGAGCATGTCCAAGGTAACCGTGACATGGCCCCCCTCCTTCTGCAGGTCATCCTCGATCCTGCGATTAGATAGGTAGGATATCATGGTAACTTGGACTGGCCCCAGGCGGACCTGCGGTGTGGACCGTACAGGTTACGCCTAGGTAGTACTCATTACTAGTGACTAAACTCTAGAAAACCTTAGTAAGAGAAAACTAGGTCTAGAGAAGTACAACTAGGTGATTTAGAACGTTATCACTGGCGCTGTAGCTGCTAATATAGAGCGTTCTTGTCTTATTAGGTTAAGTCTAAGGGGACTGAAGAGGCTAAGTTGTAACGATCCTCATGAATCGTTCCATCTCGGATGGCTCGGAAGCCCGTATCGGCCCCGACCCCGACCTAGCCCCGACCCCTGCCGTTACCCCTATTCCCTCATGTATTTAGTCGCACCTCTCCCCCGTAGCTAGCTCGGTAGTTTTCTGATATCCTTCGTACAAGGCCTATAGGTGTCAATGAGATTCCCAGGTCATTGAGTCCCCACGCACTCCCATATGCCTCTGAGTGGATTCCTACCACATTCGGACCCATTGTCTTTCCTGTGCCGTTACATAAGTAAAGCAGATAGTCTATAATTAAAAAGCCTACTTTTATAAAAGTAACTTAAGATTACAACTTTTTTTCTTACTATCTAGTTGAGGTCGGCTTTTAAGGGTCCTAAGGTTTTAGTTTTAGTACTTGTGGGTTCTGCAGGGCATCTGTGGATGCACTGCTCCTGCGCTGGTAGTTCTCTTTAGGATGATAGTTATTAGTAAGCTTATAATAATATAATTTTATTGAAAATAGCTTAGAGTCCTAATGTATTGCTAGCACAGTTCTAAGGTTAGCGCTGTAAAGCTTCTAAGACTAAGTCTGTAGCTGCTCGTGTTGCGGCGTCATCGGGCTACTGGGGTTGCTGGGGAGTCAGAGCTAGAAGAAGGATATACTTTCATAGGTGATTCGTACATCCACGGCATTATGGACGGTGAAGCTCTAGAATTAAGTGGAAAGGCTGCTAATTCTTTAGACTATCTGGTGTTAAGCTGATGAAATAGAGGGAAGTATACATATTAAACCACTTCACAGGCATGCTAGGGTAGAGTCTAGTTTGATAGGGCTTTGATTTTGCTTTCATTGTAGATACAGAGTCAGAGCCAATGTGGAACGCGTCGAGCTGTGTAAGGATGCTTATAAGTGAGGGTACAGTAATGAAATGGATTTGACGCCCGATATAGCCACCAGTTGCAGGGAGGTGGCAGGCCCGCACCGGCCGTAGGGTTGTGAGCTCGAGTTATGATGGAGAATTATTTTCTT